ACATCCCACACATCTGTTTCAGGGTTTGGGTCAGACTCATGCAGATGAAAAAAAAAAGACTGTTTTGCTGTTTGCAAACAGGCCTTGCTGCTTTTTTTTTTTTTTTTTTTTTTTTTTTTTTTTTGTGAATGGATTCATTCACCGTCCTCCTGAAAGGGCGATTTTAGCCAATGGCCGGTTCGCAAGTGCTGCCTCCCAGCTCCTCCTGATTTGCTCTTCGCGGCTCTGCCTCTCTGATTGGGCTCCCAGTGCCACATGACGCTGTCCCTTCTCCTTGACAGGGTGTCTGACACTTTTAGGCAGAATACCAAATAGCTAACGCCGAAGAGCAGCCATGTCCCTGGGATGCTGCTGCTGTTAATGTTTGGTTTTAATCACTGGGGAGGAGGGGAAGCTGGTGCACGGCTTTTGCAGATGAGCCAGCAGCCCTTCTGACACCTCTGGAGTGTCACTGAGGAAAGCCCTGCACTCCCTCATGGAGAGGGGCCAGGGTCCTGCTCTGCCGAGCAGCAACTGGGCACAGTTGGGTTTGATATACATGGACACAGAGAAGGAGAACTGCACGGGGGTGGAAAGGAATCCTGGGTCTTGCACAGAGAAAGCAGAACCCCCACACTTGCACCCAGCAGCCGTGAGGAGATGGTGAGACGAGCCCAACTCTGCCCACCCTGCAGGGCACACGTGGTCAGCACAGGATCACTGAGGTTGGAAAAGACCTCTGAGATCACTGAGCACACTGCACCCTGGCACTATTAACCTCAGCAGTGTGGCTTGATTTTCATTGAGGTGATGAACAAGGAGCTGGGGGTGCCTGAGGAAGTGGGTCCAGCTCAGCTGGAGCTCCTGACCAGCAGCAGTCAGCAGGATGAGCTCACCAGAGACCTGCTGCTAGACCAAGCAGGGGCTGCAGAGGGACTGGCTTTCTCTGATAGCTCCTGGTGGCCCTGACAGGCTGTGAAGGAGATTGACAACAAATGCTTGGCCTGGAGGAGATGAACACAATATTGTATCCTGAGAAAAAGTTTAGCTTGGGCTTTAAAGGTTAAGGAAGGCAATTATTGCCTCCAGTCCATTCAAATGCCTTTCTAGGAATGATGAGTGATGGGCCTAGGTCATCACCTGGGCCTGAGTCAGATATCTCAAGAGCTGGCACTGAACATCTGTGAGCTCTGGCCCTGTGAATCTGAGTTACCCTGGCAGAGCCAGCGTGCTGACAGAAACTGCATTCCTGGACAGTGGCCTTAGTTGAGGGGACATGAGCTAAACAGGGAGAGGCAGGGCAGAAAATGGGGATGAAATAAGCTTTGCCAATGAGACAAAAAGTTAACCTGCTGCTGGTGTCAAAACCAAGCTGGGATGTGAAAGAAGAATGGAAAGGTGACTTCATCCCATCAGGTCAAATGTCAGGAGCCATCCTGAACTCATTTTCTCTCCCAAGAGAATCTGGATAATCTAAATCTGGGGTTCATGCATGGGAAAGCAATTCACCAAGTGATAGAAGGGCCTTGACATGTAGAAGGAAAAGACAGAGACCTCTGCGAACCTGAGAGAGGGGCTCTTTGCTTCAGTCAGGCTTTGTAGGGACAACAAGGAAGAGATCCTGCTGTGATTGAGCCAAGGGAGCTGCTCCTAAACAGCACATGGTGTTGGAGCAGGTGAGCTCTGGCCAGTGCCAGCTGTGGAGAGGAAAGCTGCCTTTGCTTTCCTGTTGTGCCAAGGGACATGTGCCTGCAGGGCATGGAACATCCACTGGGTCCTGTGGAACCTCCTTCATCGCCTGTGCTCTGCCCTGCCTGAAGGAAGGAGTGGTTAAAGGGCTGATCCTTCAGATGAACACCTTCTAGTTAAGTGTGGAAACCCAGTGTGGAGAAGGGACACTGCAAAGCGTGGGGCTCACTGCAGCTCCACAGGGCATGGGGATGGTTCCCCTGGCAGCACCAGGGCAGTGGAGGAACAGCTGGGTGCTCAGGAGTGGGGGTGCACAGCCCTGGCAGTGAGTGCCTGTGGCCGTGCACAACTTTGGACAGTGCAATGACAGGAGGGACCCGAGTGAGAGGATGGTGCCCACCCTCAGTGTTCCAGCCCTTTTCCCAGGCCATGACCCCAGAACGCACTGGGAAAGCCCATGTCTTCAGAAGCTGGCACCCACCACATCTCAGGGTCCTGCCAGTTCTGCCTGTTCTGCCCCTTTCCCCCTGCAGCTCATCCCTTAATCACAAGCAGCTTGGGGAGACAATGCAATAACCACACCAAAGAATCAGGCTCGTTCCCCTTTGTCTTGCTCTCCTTTGAGGCTCGGCAGTTGAGGCGTGCCATCACGCCCACGGCCCGGCCGTCACACGTCCGACTCACCGCCTGCCAGGGCAGCCAAGCTCCTCGGCACGAGGGCAGCGTG